AAGTGCGGCCGCGTTCGGCTCGCTCGTCATCGCGCCGACCTTTGAGTCCACATCTCTAGCTCTGCACACGATCGAGCGAACCATCGTATGCATCTTCCGGTTTCATCTTCTCACAAGTCCTGCTCATCCGATTTTGTACTTTCGCTCTGCAGTACGAGCGGGGAGCTCACAACAATTCGGCGCGCGATCCACCTCGCAGTCTGCTGTATTCTTCCGTCGCCTCCCTTCTGGCTCCCCGGTTCCCTGGTTCTCCCTCCTTCCTTTCCCTTCCCCCCGGACGCGCTGCCTCACTGCTTTCTCAGATCTCATTCGTCTGCTTTTTGTTTGCTATTCCGCTGCCTTCGGGTTGTTCAGTTCGCTGTCTCGTTGCATTCTCATTTTCCCGCTGCCTGTTGCATTCTCTTCGCTTCTTTGCTGTGTAGCATTCGCTGCCTGTCTTTCTCGCATGCTCTCTTCGGCTGATTCGTTTCTGGCAATTCGCTGCTGTTCGCGCGCTAAGTTTTCGCTGGACAAGCCGCCCTCGTGGTCGTTTATGTCAGGTGCATGATTACCATCGGTTTCTTCTTTGGCGTCCGTTGTTCGACTCAAGGAAAAGGCGGAAGTGCGTCGTCGCTCTCCCCCTCCCTCCCTCTCCCCAGCCCCCTGCCCCCTCTTTCCTTTCCTCGGTACCCTTCCTCCCTTACTTCCTCCTCGTCTTCAGCTCCTTCTGCGTCCGTGTGATCACCCATCCTTCTCTCATTCATCGTTCCCTTCTACTCCCGTTCCCCTCTCCCTCCATCTTCCTGCCTTTCTGCCTCTCACTTGCTTTCCAATGTTTCCCCCACCCCACCCCCCCCCCCACCCCATCCCCTCCCGTCATAAGCAGGGAGTTTCAGTCGAGCGCGCGCGCGTACGCCCAGCACTGCGCGTCCCCTGTGGCCCGAGTCGTGGCCGTGACGGGTTAACCAGACTGTTAATTAACACGACAATGGCTGCCACTCGGCGCCGCTCATTACCGAGGCACGAACACGAATCCTCGCCATTAAAATGCAGGGCGAGCGAGTCAACAGCGGCGCCGCCGACACGGCGACCACAACAGCACCAACGACAACAACCACAACAGCAACGACGACAACAACCGCAGCAGCGACAACATTCTCGCCTGCCCTGCCCTGCGGCGCTGCGCCTGATAAGGGCGGCGAGCCACTGAAGCGAGAGCAAAGCAAGGCGAGGCGAGAGGCCGTGTTTACGCCTCGCTCTGATTGGCCTCAAAGCATCAATATTCCGCGCTGGCATTCACGCCTATTCACGCCCATTCACGCCCGCGCATTAGTCAGGCCGCCACCTGGAGCCAAGGAACTCGCGGGCGGACGCAGGTCTTTTCCTCCTCCTCCTCCTCCCCTTCGTTTTCTTTTTGTTCTTGTTCGCTTTTTTTTTCTCTTTATTCATCTCCTCGTTTTTTCCTCCTTCGGCCAAATCGACTGATTCCGCGGAGCAATTCCCTCCGCCTCCTGGCCTCGCGCGCGCTGGCTCTCGAGGTCGACCTTTGGGTAAACATCTGTGTCGGCCTCGTCAGCAAGCATCCTTTTTCGCTTTGGTTCCGGGAAGGAAAACCGGGAATCACTTTATTCAAAAGATCAACAGCAAGATGTGTTTTTTCGGTGTTACATACAGGAAAGGAAGGGGAATCGTAAATAAGAGAACACAAACAAAATTACCTTAAAATCTCTCAAGTTACAAGACTTTTCTTTCTATATTCGCGAAAGCAATGGAAGATTCTCTCCTGCTTTCGAACTTTTCTCATATATCCGAGAACAGAAAGACTAGAAGAAGGCGTTGAAGAAATGAAACAAAGCGGAGAAAAAGAGAATTTCTAGTTTTATGGGTTATTTTTTTTTTTTATTTCTTTTTATTTTTTACTATTACTATTTTGGCAATTTTTTCAAGGAGTTAATATTTTTTTGGCGATTCTTTGCAAAATTTGGAAGGAGTCAGTATTTTAACGAATGATGTGAAAAATTTGTAACTTTTTTTTTTTTTTTTTTTTTTTTTTTTTGGCCGGCGAAATCGATTCGATATGAACACAAGGCACGAGACTGTAGAAGCGAACGGACAAGAGGAAGCCAAGCCGAGGGCGGGAGAGCAAAGCAAAACCGGCTTTATAAAATCAAGGTTTGTTTACATGATTCGTTTTGCGGTCCTTGAAGAAAAAGCTTCAGGCCATTTTCGACAGGCACTCCTGATATGGTCCGTGCGCTTGCGCTTGAAGAAGGAACTTGTACCAAAAGAGGAGATCCTTCAGCTGTAGCGTTTGTGGCGTAACGCGTGTGCAGCAGATTCGTGCGTCGCCCAGAGAGCAGGAACCCGGCGAAAGGGCGGGTCAGCGTCAGGCGCAGCAAGTCCCGGAAATCTAGAGGGAATGAAAGCGGATGTGATCGGGTGCGGGAGGAGCCCCGGCAGGCGGTGCAGCAGACCTTGAGCTCAAGAGCCTAGGTGTCTCCCCTCCCGGCCCCTCCCCCTCCGCTCCCCCTCCCTCGTATGCCCTCCTGCTGCCCAGGTGCGAGGGCCTGTGCATTCCGGGAAGCCTTTGTGCAGCGGCAACTGCACCTGTTCATTAGCCAGGCTGTCTTGTTATCCGTTTTGCACGATTGCAATCGAAGCTGTTACGGATTCCAGCCGTACACCTGAACGCCTGCACACCTGAGGCTAACAATGGCGACTGTTTAGGGAAACTCAGAGCGAAAAAGTTAAGGATAAAAGAGCCTTTGACTATCATTCTGCTTCCCAGAAATGATTGATCACCAGGACGTCGCTACGCCGCTTCCTGAACTCCTGAAGGACAGGGATCTTTACCTAGACATAATCGCGGAAGGATGAGAAGGGCGAGGGAGAGACCCTGGCCCCGCAGGGAAGAGACCCTGGCGGCGACCTGGGCCCCAGACCCTGGGCCCCCTGGGCCCGCGCCGGGGCAGGGAGAGACCCTGGGCCCCGCAAGGGAGAGACCCTGGGCCCGCCAGGGAGAGGGCCCCGCACCCCTGGGCCCCGGCAGGGAGAGACCCTGGGCCCCGCAGGAGAGAACCCTGGCCCCGCAGGGGAGAGACCCTAGGCCCCGCGGGAGACGAACCTCTGGGCCCGCGGGGGAGAGAACCATCCCCGGGGAGACCCCTGGGCCCGCAGGGAGAGGGAGAGACCCTGGGCCCCGCGGAACAGAACCCTGGCCCGGGAGACACCCCTGGGCCCCGCAGGGAGAGACCCTGGGCCCCGCAGGGAGAGACCCTGGGCCCGCAGGGAGAGACCCTGGGCCCCGCAGGGAGAGACCCTGGGCCCCGCAGGGAGAGACCTGGCCCCGCAGGGAGAGACCTGGCCCCGCAGGGAGAGACGTCTGGGCCGCAGGGAGAGACCCTGGGCCCTGTAGTGGAGAGAACTGGGCCCGCGGGAGAAGACCATGGGGCCGCAGGAGAGACCCTGGAGCCGCCGCGGCATGTGTTGTACAGCATAGAGGTGGGACCTACTAGGGGCGCGCTGAGGAGCGCGGAGAAGCACTCTCGGGAGGACCCTGGTGTGCGCAGAGAGAGATAGAGAGGCCGCTCACGAGAGGAGAGATAGGGGCCCGCAGGCTAAGTAGGACGTACTATGCTGGGCCGCGATCGAAGGGCATATGTAGATGCGCTGGCCCCGCGGGAGATGAGACTCGCCGATAGGGACGAGACCGGCAGACTGGCGCCCGCAGGGAGAGACCTGGCCCGCGACGCGGAGAGCCACCTGCGCGCGCGCGGTAGTAGACCTCTGTGTAGCATGGGCGGCTCGCGCATGCACACGCGCGCGAGACTCTGGAACTGAGAGAGAGTGCCGGGGCTAGGGAGATCATGCTCGCGCCCGCATGTAGAACTGCATAGGCTGGGTCCAGGGGTGCGGGGTGTGGAGAGACCTGGCCCGCAGGGGAGACCTGGGCCCGCAGGGAGAGGCCCTGGCCCCGCAGGGAAGGCTGGCCCCGCGGGAGAGACCCTGGCCCCGTAGGGATAGACCTGGCCCGCAGGGAGAGACCCTGGGCCCGCGCAGGGAGAGACTGGGCCGCGGGGAGACAACCCCCTGGGCGCGGGGAGAGACCTGGGCCGCAGGGAGAAACCCTGGGCCCCGCAGTGGCAGAGCCTGGGCCCCGAGGGAGAGACTGGCCGGAGTGCATAGAGAACTGTGTGTGTGTAACCAACTGGTAGTCGGCAAGGAGGTCGCCCGTGAGGCGCGCGGATGGGCCCGCGGGAGAGTCGAAGCGTGTTCTGGCGCGTGTGTGTGTGTGTGTGAGAAGACGCGTGGGGCCCGCAGGGACAGACCTGGGCCCGCAAGGGGACAGATTTTGATTGAGAGCGGGAGTCGCTAGGCGTGGCGGCTTGCGCAGTTTGGAGACGGATGATAGAGAGGGCGGGGGGAGACCCTGGGCGTGAGTATGTTGGGCCCCGCAGCGGAGGAGACCCTGAGGCCCGGGGAGGAGACGAGTGTGTGGTGGGGGGCCATGGAGGAGTGAAGGCCCCTGGCCCCCCGCAGGAGAGACCTGGCAGAGGGAGAGAACCCTGGCGAGGGAGGTAGGGAGAAACCCTGGGCCCCGCAGGGAGACCCTGGGCCCCGCGGAGAGGAGTGAGAGACCTGAGTGAGAACCGCTGCGCAGCCCCGCAGGGAAGAGGCCTGGCCCCGCAGGGAGAAGACCCTGGGCCCCGCAGGAGAGGGCCGCGAGACCGAGCCCTCGAAGGGAAGGGCGGCAAAGGGGCTCGTTTCTACTCAGCCCGGAAATGACCGGTCCACGAGCTAATACAATGGCGGGGGAGGGGGCGAAGTGGGGAAGAAGGCAGAGAGAAAGTGGGAGGTAGGAAGGGAGGCAGGGAGTGAGAGAGTGAGAAAGAGGAAGGGAGTGAGGAGAAGAGAGGGAGGGAAGGAGAGAGAGAGGGGGGAGAGGGAGAGAGAGAGAGGAGAGGATGTTGGGAGGAAGGGAGGGAGAGATAGAGAGAGAGGAGGGAGGGAGGGAGGGAGAGGGAGAGAAAGAAGAGCGAGCGAGCGTGTGCTGTCTCTCTGTTCTCGGAGCATCATTTAAAAAGCGAATTGCACTTCGCTTGTTCGGCTGTTGACAGGCCCTGTGTGTTTATATGTACTTACATGCCACGTGAACTGCCAAGATACGTACTTATTGGATGTTTACTTCTGAAACATGCGATGTTTTCTACATTATTGTATGTGCCATAAATTATTTATTTTTTAAAATAATATTACTATTACAAATGTCTGTTACAGTCAAATTTGCGCATGCGCGGCCCTCTCGCCCAATTGTCAGTCCCGTTGTAACATGGCCACTGCTCGTTCCAGAGTTTGTTCACAGTGCTTTTTGCAGATTTTCCCCCAACATCCCGGTGAAAACGATTTCTTTCTGAAATTGTTACGATCTCCGAGATAACCCCGGATTCAGTGAAATACAATAAGCATGTTCCAGCTGCAGGGCGGCAGCGGTTCGCCCCCGGCCAGCCGCCTCGCCGCAGCCACAAGGTAAGCCCGATTTGTATCTTCACCTGTAGAGTCTGTGGCGACGGAGGCGTGTATCGGCCGGGGAAACACGGGGGATGGGGGAGACCCAGGGTTAGGAAGGCTTTTGGTTCACACGGCCTTCTTCGGGGAAGGCGTTGAGACGGCTCGCTCGGCCGCGTTCGGCGTGTCGAATCTTGGTTCGCGCACAGCAGCCGTATCCGATTTCTCGCGGTTAGGCCTACGGCACACATATGCGTATGCGCATAGAAACGAACCTAACATAGCCTAACTTAACCTAACCAAAGTTAACCTAACCTAACCTAGAATAACTTACTCTAACCTAATCAAATTGATAATGGTATCATTGTCTCGTGTCAAGATCCCGCCATCTTTGCTTTACCACGCATGCGCAGGACACCAATGGGGCTTTTTTGCCGTATCAGTAGCCACTTTCTTTCGATTTTCCAATCTTGCTTAATAAGAGCAAATTCGCCCACGGTCGCGCACGAATCATCCCCGAAAAGAAGAACGGTCCCGGGGAATCCCCGAGATTATTTACTCCTGTAAATGATTCCCCTGAAATGGAGCATTAAAGGCAGCAACTAGAATGATGAGTAGAATGATGCACAGGAGGCGCTCTTTGCGGCGCCGGCTCGCCATCCACCCCCAGGTGCGCCTGGCGAGGTTCATTTGTCTCTTACGGTGAATAACAACTAAAATGTGGGAATAATGTGCATCGCGTGCAGAGGACGGTGAGCCTCTGTGACTGACGGTGCGCTTGCAACGCTTCAAAGCGCGAGCGTCTGAGCGGGGATGACTGCTTGCGGCGCCAGGCAGAGGCATCGGGTTCTGCTTCTCCTGATGTTGCGACGTCATTTGCTTTGGTCCGGTGAGGCAAGTTCAGATTTTAGCACAGAATACTCATTCGTAATTTCAGTATCGTTGTAAAAGATTGCAAACATAACGTATTCGTTTAAAGAGGGCGAGTCCAGCGACGCCCACGGAATAGGCAGACGAGGAGTGAGCGCGGCCCGCACGCCCTCCACGCCCGCGACGAAGCAGCAGCCTCGACGAGCGACGCCCCGTCCCCGTCCCTGCGGCCGCCGCGGCGCTCTCTGCGGGGGCGACGGCCCGAGGGACTGCGCGGCCCGATCCAATTCCAAAGATGGCGGGCGGGCTCTTCTAATTTCCGTAGATTATTACGTCTGCGAGACAAGGAAATCGCTCGAGCAGTTCGTTTTAAGAGGCGGCCGCCGGTCGATAAGGCGATATATCGGGAGAGCCATTAGGGCGGCCCGAGGGCGGCTGCGGCGCCTCATCTCACTGATGACGAAGGGCCCAGGGCTCGCGCGCGCGCCCGCCTCCTTTCTCTACGCCGGAGTCTCGCGCCGAGGGTGACGGGGCTGCAGCCCGGCTGCGTCAGGAGCGGGCTGAGCCAGCCTGAAAGTCAGACACAATGTGTGCATTTGCCTGCATCAGCCATTTGAATGACTGCGCTGTCTGTGGCAGCCATGGGGGGGGGGGGGTCCTCCTCTCTGCCTCCTCAGGCAGGTATTCAGTCGCGTTGCCTCCGCGCCGTCTGTCTCGCGGCGGGCCTGCTCCTTGCCGACGCTTTCCGCTGCCGTCGCTGCAAGCCCCCCCCCCCCCCACGGGCCGTCCCCTGCGAGACATCCGCGGCCTGCCTTCGGACGGGGGTCAGCAGGGCGTTGCCATGACTGCCCTGCCCCTAATTCGGGAGCCTCCAGCCCGAAGCCGGCCGCCGCTGGGCCTCCGTCCTGCTCGGCCTAACGCATGTTGATTAAGATAATAATAACAATAAGTTTGTTTTATTTAATTTGTTACAAAGGTTATTCTTATGTTTAGTGTGACAGGAGGTTTGTTTACATTTGCTTCCATTTCCCCCTTTGGGCTGAGCTAGATCGCTGGACGAGAACGCTGTCGCCGCACCGCACACGCGGCGCTCCCTTGGCGGGCCCTTCGCTGCCTCGGGGCCTGAGGGTCGCCCTGCCTGGCGCCGTCGGGTGGCCCGTCATCTCCCTCCGCAGACGGACTCCATCAGGCTATGGCGCGGCCCTTACGTGCCGGATCTGCCGCGCGGAGCCGCTACCTGGCCGGTGGCTCCCTCCCCGGCCGTTGCCATAGTCACCGCCCAGCGTCAGCCCGGTGTCCTCGCCCGCCTCGCAGCGCCGCTTTTGACCCGGCGTCGGGCGCCGCCTGTGAGTGGCGGCTGATTTCCCTGGGGTCGCCCGGGGATTCTTGTCTCTTCCTCGTTTTGTTCATTATTACTACCATTATTATTATTATACTTTCAAATTTCCTCTGTCGTTTTCTCCAGCGGTAAATGTCATCTGTTTTTTATCCATTTTTCCTTTACTTCCCATCTCTTCCTCCTTAATGATTTTTTCATCATAGTGGTCTGGGTTTTATTACCAATTTTATCTAGTCATACAAATTAGAGCTTCAATTATATAATTGTCTAACATTACTACATACAGCATCGCTTTATCGAATTGTCAATGACATATTTTGCAAGAGGAAAAAGAAAGAAAATGTGCCAGGTCTCTCTAACCGATTTCCGGCGGCGTTTTCGAGTATGCATGGCCGGCCGCCGCACATATTTGATCGCATAAATGTCCAACGACACTTTTGCTGATGGTTCTACGTGGCTAGATAATAATGTTTTTTTTTTTTTTTCATTTTGCTCTGTTGTTATCGACTTATCTTTTTATATCGTTGAAACACTCGGAAAACTTTCAATGATATTTTTGTTTCCCTTGCTTTTTATAACCCATCGCCTTTATATATCACGAAAACATCCCTCCCCCCTTCGGGAAACTTTCAAAATAAAATAAAAATCTGACACAACTTGAACGAAAATGAACGTAAATAGCGGCAGTCACACGCCATTAACTCCGCAGAAAACACTTTATGCTCGCGGTCCCTCGGCTCTTGTCTTATGAGGGCCTCGAATGGCGCGACTTTTAAATCGGAATCTTGGCGGGAATTTCTG